CCTCGGATGAGCCAGGCCGGCGGGGGAGGGGCCCAGGGACACTTGCTCCCTATGAATGGGCCCACAGAGCGGGAGGCGGAAGCCGCTTGATCTTTCTGCCCCGAGTTCCATCCTCCTTTGCTCTCATTCACTCGCGCTTTCAACAAGCATTTATTTATTGGGTTTGTGGTGTGGCGCGGGCCCCGTCGACTACACGGAGGACAGAGCACAGAGGAGCCTTGCAGCGAATCCACTGTCCATTCATGGAGGAGGAAGACGGAGCGCCGGTCCCCAGGGGCTGCGCTGTCAGCAGGCGTAAAGGGGGGTCTGCCCCGCCAGGCTAGCTTATGTGGGCTGTCGGCACCCATGGGAAAGCAGAGGGCATGTTTTCTGTCCCCCAGGTAGGTTTGAGGAAAGCGAGGTGCCACCGCATGTAGCCTCCTGTGACTCCAAAAGTCAGCACGGTGCCTGGTACACACACAGGTCCCCAAGCGCCACTCGCAGACTGGAAAGCCAGGAGCCCGCCATGGCTAAGCGGCTCAACCGTGGTCATCTGGATGACTGGCCAGGGATTGAACCGAGGGCGTCTTTCATCCCACGCCCAAAGCTCTCTAGGCTGTGACCGTGCTTTGTCTGCGTGCACGGTGGTGCGGGGACAGGGACCGGAGCTGGTGGATTTTCAGCATCGTGCGTGCTGGGTTTTAAAGTTCTTGGCCGTGCTGTTTCAGCGTATTCTAAAGGGGACGCAGGGCACGTGGGAAATAACTGGGGGTCATAAGAGGCTCTCGAACAACGTTAGGGTAGAGTTGCACAGCAGCGGGGGGGGGGGGCCCGTGTGGCAAGCCTTGCCGGTGAGCCCAGGATGACGGGGCTCAGCGTGGTGCCCGCTCACGGAGAGGGCGTTAGAATGCACGTGGTGTATATAGCCTCATGTTACCGTGTTCGTGCAAAAGGAGCTCCTCCGGAGACATTGAAGCGCTTTGTTTTCACTCTTACCATTGCCCATTTATCAGTTTGAGGGAAAACTGGTGTTTCGACCCTCGTTGCCCGAGCTAGGGTCTGGATGGAGGAGCAAAGCCTGATTTTGCACATGCGTGGCAGGTGTGCAGTTGCCGAGGGGCTTGCCCGTGTGAGGCCAGGAGGGGAAGGCCCGGGGTCCGGGGCTGGAGGGGTGGCGGAGCACCCCAAGAGTTGTCTGTTTGTGGGGGCCGCCTGGGTTCCCGTGAATGCCTGATCCTTCCTTTTTACATTGTGTCCAATTGTCCGCCTCGCAAACTCCTGTGTATTCTTGGATACCCGGCTCACATATGCTTCATGGAAAGGTGTCACCTGTCCACGGCACTGCCTGCCCCGATCCCGTGGTCCCCGACTGCCCGTGCCACCCATGCTGGTTGCAGTAGGTGTGTTCTTGTTTCTTCTCAGAGGCGGGACCTGGACCCGGGCCTGGTGAATGCTGACCAAATGTGCTCAGAGCGAGGTGACTCCAAGGAGCACCTGTGTGTGGGAGGCGAGGCTCGTCCCTGCCGGGCGTTTGTCCATTCAGGCTTTGTGTCTGGCTGGCGCTCAGATGGTGGGCCTCTGCTTCCGAGAAGGCTCGGCCAGGCACCTGAGTGCTCCAGGAGTTCGGTGGCTCTCACACATCCTGGCTGCCTATTCTAGTCACTTCTAAGCTTCTAAGAATCCAGGCGCCCAGGCGCTCCCAAGAGTCTGTGCATGTGAAGGGAAGAGGCAGTGTTAGTATTTTACTCACGTCCCTCAAGAGGCTCCTAAGGACAACACCACCTGAAAACCACGTCTCTGGTGGCCCCTGAGCCGCACGGCCAATGAAGTCTTGCCAAATCTAAGGCGTTTGAAAACTCTGCGCAGCGCGTCAGAGCTTAGGGGCAGCTCTTATCTGTGTGTGTTTCTAACACCCCAAATTGTCCAGAAGTGGTCACTGAACTCCAGTGTTCAAAGATGCCTCACCGGAGGGAGTTAGTGTGGAAACTGCAAAGTCCCTTCCGGCCCCGGGGTTCTATAGCTCCCTTGATCCTTCGCCGCTTCCCTCCAGCCCCCAATTAGTTGTCGAGCATCTTTTGCGTGTGAGGCTCAGTTCTGAGTGTGGGGCAGGAGCGGCGTGGGCCAGGTAGACCCGGCCACTGTTCTGTGGAACACGCGCTCCAGCTGGGGAGGCGCATTGTCAGGGGAGCTAGCGCAGGGGTGAGTTCCTTGTGAGGGGTGAGGGGCTGGGCTTAGAGTGGGTGGCTGAGGGATGAGGTGTTGTGGAGGCTGCAGGGTAGGGGTCGGGCCTTCTCAGCAAGCACCTCCCACCCGTCCAGACACACAGCGGCGGGAGATGACCTTGCAGACAGCTCGGGTAGAGATGGGTGGCTCTGTCTTCACACCAGCTGGACACCGTGGCTCAGACATTATCACCAAGACCCAGATTTGTTTGCACAGCCTGAGCCTGTGGGCCCTTCCCCTCTGGCCTCTGGCCTCAGAAGCCCCAGGTCCTGCCGCCTTGGGGGCTACCTCGTGTTCTTAGTCCACAGCCCAAGGGATAGGGAGGATTTCTCTGTAGCTCCTCTACCATCCAGGGGTTTGGGAGTGGGGGGCTTGGGACCGGGGTACTTTGCAGGTTCACGTCAGCTGGTGGAAACCCTCCCCGGTTGCCACAGCAAGGTCAGTCCGCCTCGGACTGGGACTGGGAGTAAGCAGGGGGGTAATTCTCCCAAGGAAGTCAGGGTATCCTTCAGGGAAACAGGGCAGGAGTGCTGGAAAGTGGCCAGGGGTCTCCTGATGGAGGCGAGCGGCTGGAACGGGCAGCAGCTCTCACACACGGTGCCCGAGGTGGTCAGGTCTGCAGGGGCAGGAGCGTGAGCCTCCCGGTCCGTGTCCTCCTGGCGCAGGTGAGCTGGGGGGTGTAGACTGGTAGCAGGGTTCTCCTAATGAGCTCGTTCAGTTCTCATGGTTGCTGGAGAGCAAGGGGAGGCTGCAGAAAGGGTGTCAAGATTCCCGTGCTCTGGGGCTCCTGGGTGGCTCAGTCCATCAAGTGTCCGACTTCGACTCAGGTCATGATCTCACGGTTTGTGAGTTCGAGCCCCACATCGGGCTCTATGCCGACAGCTCAGAGCCTGGAGCCTGCTTCGGATTCTGTGTCTCCTTCTCTCTCTGCCCCTCCCCTACTCACGTTGTGTCTCTCTTTCTCTCAAAAATAAATAAACATTTAAAAAGTTAAAAAAAAAAAAAAAAAAGATTCCCGTGCTCACAGGGAGCCGGAGCAGTCTGTCAGTCTCTCCCCGACACTTTTTACCACATGGCTCCCTCTAGTCAAGGTGGAGAACCAAGGCCCCATGAGGTGCTGTGTTGGGGACAGAGCAAGGACCCATCCCCACTGTGATCCCAGCCAGGACCAGTGTCCTACTAAGCGCCTCATCACATTTGGCAGAAGTGGGCCTGGGGAGAGCTGTCACAGTCACAGGGAGGTGGCTGTGTCTGTGCTTCTGGGAAGACCTGGAAGGAAAGGTCAGAGCAGCTTCTGGAGGCAGGTGGGTGTTTCTGGAGGCCTCTGGAGGGTGTGGGTTTGGGGAAAGCAGCAGGAGAGGTCCCATGTCCACACAGGAGTTGGCAGGCTCGGGTGTCCAAGCGGTGGTGGGAGTGAGCCTTGCAGGTCTGTCTGCCTTGGCCCGTGCCCAGCCCTGCACACTGCTGCTGGGGCTGTTAAGAGGGGCCTGCGTGGGAATGGGGCCCAGGGAGGCGAGTCCTCTGGAGGCCTGGGGGACATTCCCTGGTCTTCTCTGACACTGGCAGTCACCACCCTTCCTGCTGCCCTCTCTGAGCCTCAGAGCTCAGCTAGATTGTCGCAGGAGCCACCCGCACACCTGCGGGGGGGAGGAGCGTGACGGGGGTCACAGCCCAGGGAGACTCTTAGGCAAAGGAGTAGTTATGGTGCTAAACGATAGGTGCTCTAAAGGAAAGCTGAGTGATTCCAGAGGAGTTAGGGCAAGCGGGGAGGGGAGAGGCGGAGGGACTGGAAGGCCCAGAGGCAGCAGGCGGTTTACGTGCCCTATTGTGTGTCTGGGGAGGCCGGGGAGGTCAGTGTGGCTGGGGAAGCACAGGCAGAATGAGGACATCTAACACCCATCTCTTTGGAGTTCCAGAAGAGTTTATGCTTGAAAAGATAATGATTGATGGTTTTTAAGTTTGTGGCAAGGTGCTACTTCTCAGATCCAGGAAGCCTAGTGAGTCGTATGCAGGATAAAATAAAAGAAATGCCCACCTGGGCACATTGGCAGGAGACTGAAGAACACCACAGGAAGGGAACATCTTTTAGTTTTTATTTTAATGTTTCATTATTTGTTTTTGAGAGAGAGAGAGAGAGAGAGAGAGAGAACGCCGGTGGTGGAGGGCAGAGAGTGGGGGAGAGAGAATCCCAAGCAGGCTCCCCACTCAGTATGGAGTCCGACACAGGGCTCGAACCCCCGAACCATGAGCTCATGACCTGAGCCGAAATTGAGAGTCGGACATTCAACTGACTGAGCCGCCCGGGCACCCCTAAGGAAGAGAACGTCTTAAATAAACCCAAGGGAGCATTTGCACCACTGAAAAGAGACGGCAGTCAAGCGGACGGCTGACTTCTCAACGAGGATGGCCGTTGCTGGCAAGCAGTGGAATAAGGTCTTAGGTGTGCTGGAAGAAACACCATCAACCTTGAATTCCCTTCCTAGGGAAACCTCTTGCTTGCAAGAATGATGGTAAAATGCATTTTGAGACACCAGCGAGACATCTGTTACCCTCCGGAATTCTGGATTCATTGAAGGGATTCCTTAGGAGCAAAGGTGAAATGGCGACATTTGCAGGCAGCAGAAACGTCCCAGCTTCCTTCCCATCGTGACTTGGTCTTTCTGGTCATACTGGCTCCAGCCAGGGGCCCTCCAAGGAACCCGGCCAGAGTCGCCTCAGCTGAGCAAGAGATTCTCCCAGTGCTGTGGTCACTTAAGAGATCCCAAGGGTTTCAGGAATTCGGGACCAGGAGCCGAGGGTGCAGAGACCAATATGTATATTTCATATCATTTCACAAAAAGTAGTAAAAATGTAACAGGATTTGAGCGGCACAGTTCATAAGCCTGCGGATTTGTTGTTCTCGGTGACAGGAGCACACACATTTTCAGTCCCCTGCAGAATACTTAGCAAAGACTTGATCCTGTGCTAGGCAAAAAAAAAAAAAATATGCCAGCCTCAGCACATTTCTGGAAACCGGGATCACCTAGAACACACGTTCTGACTACAGCATCCTCAGCAACAAAAGGAAGACTAGAGAAACTCCATATGCTTGACATTTGAAAAACTCCTGAATTCTTGAGTCAAAGAAGAAATTCTAATGAGAATCAAAACATTTAAAACCAACTAGTAAGGTAAATATTTTTATCCCAGAATTTGTGGGGCCCCTAAAGCAATAGTGAGGGGGGAACTGGTAGCTTTCACTGTTTACAGAATAACGTGACACCGAAAGTGGAAGAAATGAAGTAAGGATAAGAACAGAAATCAGTGCATTAGAAAACAAACACACGGGACAGTCATCGCTGACTGAAAAGAGCAACAAATAGGTCTCTGGCAAGAATAATTTTAAATTTTTTTTTTCCAACGTTTTTTTTTTTTTTTTTAATTTTTTTTTTTTATTTTTGGGACAGAGAGAGACAGAGCATGAACGGGGGAGGAGCAGAGAGAGAGGGAGACACAGAATCGGAAACAGGCTCCAGGCTCCGAGCCATCAGCCCAGAGCCCGACGCGGGGCTCGAACTCACGGACCGCGAGATCGTGACCTGGCTGAAGTCGGACGCTTAACCGACTGTGCCACCCAGGCGCCCCAAGAATAATTTTAAAAAATAAGGAGGAGGGGCGCCTGGGTGGCTCAGTCAGTTAAGCATCTGACTCTTGATTTCGGCTCAGGTCATGATCTGTGGTTTGTGGGTTCAAACCCCACACTGGACGCTATGCTGACAATGCGGACCTGCTTGGGATTCCCATTCTCTCTCTCTCTCTCTCTCTCTCTCTCTCTCTCTCTCTCTCTGAGACCCTCCCTTGCTCAAGCTCACTCTCTCTAAAGAAATAAACTTAAAAAAATTTTTTTTTTAAATAAGGAGGAGAGACGCAGACGGCATTAGGAATGAAACGGGGCCATAACTGCCCACACTGCCAAGGTTTCACACGGAGTCAGAGGCTGTTTGGTCAGCTCTGTGCTTTCAATCTGAAAACTTAAAGTGGATACATTTAGAAGGAAAACTTAGTAGAGCTGACCGGAGATCAGTAGGAAATCCGTAAATAGGGGTAGTGCTATATCATCATTAAAGGCGTTGAGTCAGGACTTAAAAATCCTCCCCACCCCACAATCCACCCGGAGGGCTTTACTGGCAGATTGTAACACCACTCTGGAAACAATTCCACCTTTATACAAACTCCTTCAGAGGGTAGGAAAATAGGGAGTATCCTGCTATTTTATGAGACTAGCATAACCTTCGCATCAAAAGCAGACCGGACATACAGTGTGAGAACAGACCTGTCAGCCACTCCCGCTCAGGAATACAGATGCAAAAAGCAGATAATTGCGAAACCAACATGAAAAATATAAAAAATGACAGAGTACATCAGGAGAAAGTTTGCAAGGACCCCGTCCTTAGAAAACGTGTAGATAGATGTACCATATCACAGACGAGAAGGGAAAAATCATGCTATCATCTTAATAGAGAGAAACTGATAAAATTCATCAGCCATTCACTGGGAAAGTCTTAGCAAACTTAGAATAATGAGGAGCTTCCAGAGCCTGATTAAGGGCTTCTAGAAGGAAAGAAACCTATAAATGGGAAGTGCTACCATTTAATGTAAAACGTTGAAAATTGATCCTGTAAGAGCAAGACAGGGACACTGGCTGTCCACACTCGTGCTTTACGTTGACGCTGGTGGTCCCAACCAGCACAGCGAGGCGGGAAAAGGAAAGAAAAAGGGTAAAGGCTGGGAAGACTCAGGCCATCGTCACTTGCAAGGGATGTGCACACAGAATAAAAAGGAAATGTGTACATAGAAAAAAAAAGACCTTTGAGGTGTAGGGAAGGCTTTCCTAGTCATCACAAAAAGCACAAATTACAAAAGAAAATACTGATAGGTTTCTCCCCATTAAACTTCAGAACATCTCTGTTCATCAAAAGATACCTTAAAGGGGCGCCTGGGTGGCTCAGTCGGTTGAGTGTCCGACTTCTGCTCAGGACACGATCTCGCGGTCCGTGAGTTCGAGCCCCGCGTCGGGCTCTGGGCTGATGGCTCGGAGCCTGGAGCCTGCTCTGGATTCTGTGTCTCCCTCTCTCTCTGCCCCTCCCCTGCTCATTCTCTGCCTCTCTCTCTGTCAAAAATAAACATTAAAAAAAAAAAAAAAAAAAGATACCTTAAGGAGAGTGAAAAGAAAAGCCACAAATTGGGAGGTAACATTGATGGAACATTATGAACATTAATGCAGGCAACATTAATGAGATTATGGGGCAGTTCCCAGACCACCAGGACTTGCACCCACACAGCATAAGGCATGACTGTGGAGGCCACACGGGCATCACTCGGTGAAGGGGAAGGAGCTTCGACCGAGGGCCTCACACGTCTGAGCGCACTTGGGGATGAGAACCAAAGCAAAACCTAGCCAGTGCCTTCAGCGGACCAATCACATGTGGGCACCCCCCGCCCCGCCACGGAGCGGAATATTATACAACCATAAAAAGGAACACGTTTCCACTGCACGTCAACACAGGTGAAATCTCCCAAATAAAATGTGGCGTGCGTGAATAGAGCAGGCCGTAGAGGATGTGTACATTTATATATAGGTAAGAAAGGCACAGCCGATCGATAGGTTGTGTAAAGCTGCCTCTATGGGGTAGAGGGGGAAGTCGAAGGAAGGGCGAACACAAAATATTAGGTGCACTCTCTTTTACCCTTTTGAAAACCGGTTGTGACCCACTAAGTTGATTTGCCACTGACGGTTTGAAAACATTTTATTGACTAGGTACATAGGCATTTGCTTCTGATTCCTTTTCACGTACACCTCTGTTTTATTCACCCTCTGTCAAAAGCAGAAACCACTCGAAGCAAGTGGGGACAGGATGCTGCCAGGGCCTGTGGCTGGAGCAGCAGATGGGCAGGGCTCGTTCCTTGGAGGAAGCCTGTGGACTCTGGGGAGACGGGCTTGAACTTAGCTCGGGAGGCTCCTCGTGAGACCGTGTATGGCGGGGACTTTGGAAAGGTTCGCGGTTTCCTGTCTGGTCCCTTCCCAGCAGGCCAGGCCCAGTGCACTCCCCGGGGTGGGCACCCCCGAAGGCTGTCGGCCCTGGCCTTCAGCTCTGTCCAGCTTTGCTGGCGTGGGACAGCACCCTTTAGGTGACTGCCTGTCTTGACGTGGGGCCCAGCGTCCTCCCCTTTCTCTCCCCGGCCGCCCAGTGCTCTCCGAGGACGTATCTGAGCCTACCCTGCCTTTCCACAGGTGCCAAGCCAGCTGCCCCCGTCGACCCGTGGGGAGTGCCCACCAGAGCCAGCATACCCTCCGTCTCCAAGGGCTCGGACCCCTGGGCAGCCCCACAGCAGCAGGCCCCCAGTGCTGGGAAAACGGCCGACGCCTGGGCCGCAGCCTCGGCCACCAAGCCCGTGTCGGCCACTGGTGAGACCTCCCTCTGCCCAGGCTCCGAGGGCCCCTTTGGGCCCCATGCCTTCCCCTCTTCTGGCTCCGTGGCGTGGGATCTGTGGGTTTGCCTGCATTTGCTGCTGCTACCTCGTCACCTGCAGCCTTTGTCCCCAGTCTCCCGATGCCACAAGCCCACCGTGAAGGGTGAGCTCACAGGTCTTCTGGGCACCGTGCCTCTCTCCAGAGGGAGCTTCCCGAGGGGGTCTGGGCAGGCTACCCTCTGGGCGCTCCTTCCAGTAGCTTCCTACAGGCTCTATCCAAGTCTCGAAACCTACCTCCGAAGTACCTCCACCCACGTTAGCGCCTCCTTCAGTTTGGGGTTGGGGCAGGCGGGAGCAGTCGCAGGCAGGCGCCCCCGCACCGTGTCCTGGGAGACCAGGATCCTCGGCCTGGCCCCCTCCCAGACCACCGGGTGACCCTGAGCCCCGTGCGATGGGGCAGACATCTCCCCTCCTGCTGCCAGCACACCCCTGGGTTGTAGACTGGACGGCAGAATCACGGGGTCATGTTGACGTGCCCACAGTCACCGGCCTCTTATGTTCACCCAGGGGCCTTTGATCTCTTCAGTAATTTGAATGGTACAATTAAAGATGACTTTTCTGAATTTGACAACCTCCGAACTTCAAAAAAAACAGGTATGTGAAAGATGGTAGTCGTTGCCATAGCGTCTGTGCCTTTGACCAGCCCAGTTGTTGCAGAAATAATCGGCTTTCAAGACCTATCAACTTCCTGCATTTTGTTGTGTTTTGGTCTCGGGAGCTGTAAGTGGCCGATGGCAGGAATTCACACATTGGCAGTGAAAAGTCATGCGGTTGGGTTTTTCTTTCACCCCGTCCTGGTGTCGGGCCTGGGTTTCCTGTCTCATTCACCTCTCTGCCTCGGCCCCGCCCCCAAACCCCAGAGGCTGCCTGCACGAGCCCCAGCCCAGCCCAGCATGGGCCCCCCGCTGCCCAGCCTGAGCCGCTCGCTCTGACCGTCTACTTTCCTCCCGAGTCCCCACTCCCCAAGCTGCCCCTTTTGCAGACAGCCCGAGCTCTGGGCCTGGACACGGTGTCTCTGCCCGACTTCATCACCCCCGTTGTGGCTCCCACCCAGTGCCTGTCAGAGGCCCAGGCCCAGTGCCCCCAGGGCTGGCGGGGCATCAGGGTAGGTAGGGTACAGAGAGACCGGACCAGGGGGAGGGGGCCGAGGCCAGAGGCCAGGGACAGAGCCAGGCTGTCTCTGTCCGTCTCCGGCCACGCCTCCCAGCTACCTAGAGCAACTTCTCTCCTTTCTCTTTTCCTCTCTCAGCTTCTCCCCGTGCCCTCCCCATTCTCCATTTGCCCCCCCCCCCGCCCCCTTCCTCCCTCCCACCTCCTCCCACCCCTTCCCCCAGCTACAGCTACGGGCCTGGCTGGCCCTGGTCTAAGGTACGAGCAGCCTGGTGCCCCGGCTCACCCCTCGGGCCCCCTCTCAGCTCAGGGGACCAGAGGCCACTTAGAACGTGCTGCTTCTTGGGGTCTTTCTTTCGCTGCATTAAAAAAACAAAATGCCATGCGTGTCCTCTGCGGGCCAACTTACAACCTAACTGTCCTGGCCCACCCACGCGTGCCTCAGCGAGAAGGCGGTGTGGCTTCTTTGTGTGGGCATCCTTCCGTGGACTTGCAAAATAGGTACCCCCAATTCTAGAGCTATTTCCACTGCAGAAAATTTGGGAAAGTTTGTGGAAGGAAATGAAAATCATCTGTAATCCTTCCACCCACCCCAGCCGCTGTGTATGTTTTCTGAGCTCTGTGTATACGGTCTTTTTTGTTCAGCTCATACTGTCAGATGGAGTTGGGTCCTCCCCCCTCTCCTCCTTTACAGAAGAACAACAGATTGAAAAATGGAAAAATTTTTCTCAGGACATAAAAAAAAAAAGACTTCAGCAACTATTCCATAGCTGTGTAATATCTCCTTGCGTTGCTCAGCGGTAATTTATTTGATCTGTAACTTTTGGGAGGACATTTTAGGTTGATTCCAGGTTTCGCTCAAGTAAATAATGCTGCTGTGAACAGCCTGGTGCTTACATCCCTGTTCACATTTCGCATTATTTCCCAAGACTGGATTCTTAGAAATGGGATTACCGAGTGGAGAGTATGACCATTTTTAAGAACCTTCAACCCCACTGCCGCGTTGCATCTTGGCCAAGCACACTGCGTTCCCACCAGCCTGTCTCAGTACACCCTCTGTTGGCTGAATTTTTGAAAATAATTTGCTTTCTTCTCCATCAAGAAATTCACGTTCATTGTAGAAAATGGACAGTGAACACACACCAAAAAATAAGCTGCTTGTGCCTAGCCAGCAACCTGAAGGAGCACCCCGGTATTTGGGGGGGGGGGGAATCATGCTGTCTGCGTTGTCTTGTCACCTGCTTGTCTTCACGTAACGTTGTGATACGGCTCTTCCCTCATCATCGCGTCTTCTGTCCCTGTTTAGTTACGTGAACCGGGGGTCCTGGGAGCTGCCCCTGTGGCCGACTGTCCCCGGTCGGGTCTGTTGGAAACAGCCCTGCATCGAACATCCCGTCTTCTGCGTGGCCACGCGGGGTGCCCCCCGGAATGCCTGTGTCTCGCTTGGGACTCTCCTGGGGTTGGCGTCTCGGGGCCCCACCCTCCGCTCTCACCGTGCCTGCGTGTGTCCCTATCTTGCAGCTGAGGCGGTGGCCTCTCCACCGTCCCAAAACAACGGAACTACAAGCCCCGATCCCTTTGAGTCTCAGCCCCTGACCGCCGCCTCGAGCAAGCCCAGCAGCTCCCGGAAAACCCCCGAGTCCTTCCTGGGCCCCAACGCGGCCCTGGTGAACCTGGACTCGCTGGTGACCAGGCCAGCCCCGCCGGCCCAGTCCCTCAACCCGTTCCTGGCACCAGGTATGCGCGCCTCCCGGCCCCCCCCCCCCGCCGGTCGTCCGCCCTTCCTGAGAACAGGTTTGGGGCAGGCCTCGGGCCCTGACCTCTCCTCCACCCCTCGGGGGGCGCTTCCTGCCGTGTCCCACAGCTGGTGCCAGATGCTCAGAGGCACGGCCGCAATTGCTGGGCTTCAGCGGGCAGGGGTGTGAACGCCGGTGTGCAGTGGTGGGGTGGGGGCTGGAAGACAGCCCCTCTCCTCAGGTAGACCGAGACCCCTGAGCGGAAGCTGTCCCTGACGTGGTGCCCTTGGCCAGGGAGACCCTCCGGCAAGCACCGCCTCCTGGCCGGGCGATGGCAGTGGTGGGGTGAGGAGGGGCCGGAGTTTGCTGCCCAGCTTTCCACTCTCTGGGGGCCACTTTCCAGGGACCCACGGACCCTCACTTCAGCCCCACAAGGGGCTAGATTCTGCCTTCCCAGGGCTCGGAACCCCACCTTCCCATCCCTGTGTGTGTCCTCCCTGCCGGCAGGCTCCTTCTAAAGACCCGCTCTCCACCCTCAAAGGCTCCGTGTGGACAAGCCCCCAGCACTTGCTTTAGCGTCCAGGGCTGCTGTGGCCGGCCTGGCCCTGCCTTCTCTGCCCCTGTGCTCACACCCTCAGCTGCTCCGAG